GAATTTGTTGCAAAGATAAACTAATGTCAGCCATGGTGCCAGTCATTGGCGGAACCTTTTGGCCGGTAAATTGTTCATAAACAAAAGGAGCCAAGGGTAAGAGTTGACCAATGGTTTTGATTAGTCCTGACTCTTCTTTTTTAGTCGGAGGGTTATTTTGATTACTTTCGGGTTGGTTAGTTAAATTTTCTATTTTTACCATATTATTTTGCAATTTGAATAAGAGTATTTAAGCCAAAAAAGACCCCTCCGAGGGTTGGTAATAGGGAGGTTCATTGGCTAACTGCTTCATTGGTTAAGTGCTGCCGATAAGCCAGCAGGATTAAACAAATAACAATTACTACTACTAGTCAGTATTCTTTTTTTCAATGCTTTTTAATAGTAGTTAACATATTACTTTAATCTATACTTCTTACTTAACTGATTATGAAAAGCCTCTTTGAGTTTGCCGAAACAACGGAAACTTAACTTATAATAAACATGACTACCAAATTTTTTATTGCTTAACTGTTGTTCAGTCTTAGTGAATTTACCTAAATTACCTAATTTAATAGTTTCTTTATTTTTGGCTCTTAATAAAGAGTTGAATAAGTCTTGTTGCACTATTTGATAGGCTTGCTTAATTTGGGATGGAGTGTAATTCATATTTAGTTAGAATAATAATTGGATTAAACTTTTTTTTCTTTTTGGGTGGGTAATAGTTAAAATCAATAATTAAGGCATTAGGAACCGGGGTCATCATTCTGGCTATAAAAAAGTTTTTGCAGCCAATATTTAAGTAGATTTTAAACTACTTAAAAAATAAATATTTTTTAGGGGTTAATAAAAAAGTAAAAATTAGTCTAAAAAGTAAAAAAATGGAGTAAGTTGAGTTTGGGTATTTTAGGATAAGGAGGGTTAAAGCGAAAAAAGAGAGTTAAAAAATAGACCTGGGGTGGTTTTTAGGTCAAAAACTAGTCTAAAATAGAAGTAAAAAAACTAAAAATATGGAGTTAAAAGTAGATAGTTTTTGAATTGAATTAAAAGAGACTCAAAGTGGGCATCAGATATTAAGTTGTCAAATTGAAGGTAAGCATTGAAGAGGATTTTTAGAAGTGAGAGAGGGGAAGCGAGAAAATGGTGAAACTTATACTTTTAAAAGTGCGAATATGAGACCTTGTAATTGAGAGAGATGTAGCATTTGTCATCCGGAAGTAGTGATTGTTTAGTGATGAGCTAGCATTTGATGCTC